CTGATTGGATTGGGCCACAGGGCGCCAATGACTTGGACTACCTCATAGACTAGGATTGGATTTGGCCCAGGTCAGTGTAAATAATACATACGTGGTTACATGGTATGTTTCAATGCCATCAGCCTGCATGGCTCCATCAAACACACTGGCCTGCCATGCAGTGCCATCCTGCTGCACAGTGGCCTCTTCCAAGGCCCTCAGTGAAACTTCAAGCATGCCTTTTCATGGTGCTAGGCTGTGCCTTGAGATGCACATTGAAAAAGGACACATGCAGTGTGTGTGTGTGTGTATTTTTGTAACTATAAGCACTTGGAGCCCAAGTTGAACCTTAGGACCAATAAACAAGTGCCTTTACACACTAAAAAACAACAAGTTCATGTGGTTTTAAACATGTTTGAGCCTTGAATGCTATTGTGTTTGGCCCAAGAAGGCTAGTGTGCATAAGCCTTGCAGGCTAATGCCTGGAAACACACAACCTTGCCCAGCCAATGCCTAAACTAAGTATCCAAAAAGAAACTTGTGGGGGCCACCAGCTGAATAAGTAACACCTATACACCATGTCTGGTGTTTTTGCATCCCTCTTTAAGGACCACTACCAGCCCCATTGCTGCAAGGAAACGTTGAATTTACAACCTAGAGTGCCACTTGATGCCATGCAGAATTAACACACATGTTAGAGCCTTTGGGGCTAATGAACTTCAAAATGATTTCCAATCACTCTAAGCCTAAAGGCTACAAATACTACTGCTTTGAAATTTTACCCAGACACATTCCACTTTAGCAAGAAAGCAACTTCAATTTCACAAAGCATGCCAACATTGTCAGCTTTATGGCTAATTTGTGAAATCTCAAAAACAAGAGCCCAAATGGCCAATGTGTGAAAGCAAAAAAACTTCAGCCAACATGGCTCATTTATGAACTTGCAAAAACACAAGCCCAAAAAGCTAATTTTGAACATTTAAAACTCAAAATAGTGGCGTTTTTTTCAAGATTTTACCATGTAAATAACTCAACTAATTAGCTGGTTTAGGTCTAAGTGCTTTATTAACCTCAGTAATAGTTAATGTGATCTTAAGATCTTTAAGATGTTTAGCTAACCATTATAAAAAGATAGTAACTGCGATAGATACACTAGATAAGTTACAGCTATTAATAACTACTTAAAAGGTACTTAGCATATGGTTAACATACAGTTAGTAAACGCGTTATAATTATACTTAACAGTGACAACTAGTTAGTAAAACCACAGCCCATCTAAGTACCGATCAGTGGCTCATCGATTCTTGTGTCAAGTGCAAGAAAGCGGCTCCGTGCGAGGCGTGGTGCACGTTTACATACCCGCACACATGCGCACGTGTGCTCACGCATCAACATATACAGGTTGTGAACTATTTACACATGGGTCATCCCCTCGTGTGACCAGGTGCACCCTACCGAAGGCACAGAGAGGCGCTGCGCTTTGCGGTTGACTTTGGCCGATTCCAACTGCTAGTGCGCTGTCGTCCTCTACCACGAGCTGGTCCTGCGAGCGGCCGTTGACATGGATGCTGCTCTGCCGGAGGGAGTCCAAGATACACAGCCGGTGCGTGCCCAGCTCCGTGATCTCTTTCGCGCTGCGCAGTGGCTGTGTCGCTTCGCCTTCCGGGAGAATGATTACCAGCAGACATTGTAGTTGAAATGTCGACACCTGACGCCTTGTCTGCGTGCCAGCCGAGCTGAAGCTGTTGTCGCACCTGAAGCCCTGAAAAGGAAAGTGTCCCATTGCCAGATGAACAACGGTTGCCCAGTGGCGCCATTGGCTACGTTGCAGGTGGATGCCCAGCTTGGCTGGATTTCGGTGGATGACGTGGAAGCTAGCTTCGTCAGATGCTTAGTGGCCTTCAATGACGAGCAGCTCCCCGACGAGGAAGCTCTGCAGCAGGACAACACGTCCACCTCGGCAATGCGCGTCAAGCGCTCCGTGGACTGCCCCGGCTGCCACAGGTGCGCCGAGCCGGGTGAAGCTGCATTGCGCTGGCCCTGCATCGGCGGTGGCATGGCTGCTGCGGGGCAACGTGGGCGAGGCGCATTTCGTGGTGCTTGCTCACACCTCAGATGCTGGCGAGTGGAGCGTGCTGTGGCACGTGCCCGTGGAAGCACATCGTGTGGAGGGAGTCAAGAACTTCATGCTGCGGATCTATGAATCTGAGGTCAAAAGCCCACAAACACTCACCTACGACCAGGCATGGACTCCAATGAAGCGTCTTGCAAGCGTCATGGAGACAGCGCCGGAAGACGCGTCGATGACTGAGGATGCCGCGTAAGAAGCAGCCGTGCGATTGACGCGCCGTGCGAAAATCTATCGTCGCTGCTACCGGCCCTGCGCCGCAAGTGAATGGATTGCCGCGCCGTGCGAAGATTCCTTGTCGCTGCTATAGCAGCTCTGCGGCTCTGCGGTGCACTCGACTAGATGAAAAGGAGTGAAGACAAGAGTTAAATAAGATTAACTCTCAAGTTGATACTTTAGCTTTTGGTACACGTCAACATACACCTCACAAGAATTAACTTGGGAGTTGATTCTTTTGTCGATCCTGTTTGTGTAAGAATTGACTTCACAATTAATTCTTTGTTGTTTGCTTGGGCATCGAGACGCATTTTCGAGCGTTTTGGACCTTTTCCAAAAGAAATAAATCCAGAGTTAATTCTTTTATTGTGACTTCATTGTCTCTGGTGAGATGGAGGCTCAACCCCGCAAAGCGGGTAGGCAGCTGCCACCCTGGCAGCCTCTTGAGGTGGTACAGCTAGGTGCTGCCTCTCTTCGTGCTGGCTCTTTGCAATGGCTTGGCCAGAAAGGCCACATCACCCATCCGTTAGAGAAAGGTGCTCCTGCCTACCTGGCTCGCTGCAAGCAGCATCTTGAGTGCACCAAGAAGTGGCGATTCTTGGGTGCTGAGGATGGCACCATGAAGGTGTTCCAGTTGGGTGACCACTCTTTGGATGTTGACAAGAAGGCCACTGGGCCCTTTTAGTCTACCATCTATCTATCTATCTATCTATCTAACTATCTATCTATCTGTCTGTCTGTCTGTCTGTCTTTCTGTCTGTCTATCTATCCCATCTATCTATCTATCTATCTACCTATCTGTCTGTCTATCTATCTATCTATACAGTATATCTATCTGTCTATCTATTTATCTATTTGTCTAAGACTCTTTACAGGGAGTTGGGAATGGTGAGAACCCGGCAGGAGTTCTTTAATGTAAGTTACCTATCTATCTATCTATCTATCTTTCTTTCTACCTATCTATCTATCTATCTATCTACCTATCTATCTATGTATCTTGCTTTCCCATCTATCTATCTATCCATCTATCTATCTATCTATCCATCTATCTATCTATCTATCTACCTATCTATCTATCTATCTGTCTATCTATCTATCTATCTATCTATCTAGTTATCAATCAATCTATCTATCTATCTATCTACCTATCTATCTATCTATCTATCTATCTGATCTATCTGATCTATCTGATCTATCTATCTATCTATCTATCTATCTATCTAGTTATCTATTTGTCTAAGACTCTTTACAGGGAGTTGGGAATGGTGAGACCCCGGCAAGAGTTCTTTAATGTAAACTACCTATCTATCTATCTTTCTTTCTACCTACCTATCTACCTATCTACCTATCTACCTATCTACCTATCTACCTATCTACCTATCTACCTATCTATCTATCTATCTATCTATCTATCTATCCATCTAGTTATCTATTTGTCTAAGACTCTTTACAGGGAGTTGGGAATGGTGAGACCCCGGCAGGAGTTCTTTAATGTAAGTTATCTGTCTATCGATCTATCTATCTATCTATCTATCTTTCTTTCTTTCTTTCTATCTGTCTAAGACTCTTTACAGGGAGTTGGGAATGTTGAGACCCCGGCAGGAGTTCTTTAATGTAAGTTCCCTATCTATCTATGTATCTATCTATGTGTCTATCTATCTATCTATCTTTCTTTCTTTCTTTCTATCTATCTATTCAGAGAACTATCCTCCTAACCCCTGGGTGTAACCCCTCAACTCTGGACATGGCTCTTAGCTTATTTTCAGAAATGCTAACTTGTTGCTAACCGGCTGCTAAACTGTTGCTAAAAAGAAGCGCCAAGAAAGTCCCTGACAACGCAATCGGAATCGTCCTGGCAACAATTTTTACCGTCCTGGCACTCGAGTTTGAAAGCGGCTCCGTTTCACGGAGGTCGGTGAACGCCATGCCTTGTGATTGCATGTGCAGATTCTGAAAGCTTTGATTTTACGTTGGAAATATCCAGTGGGACAGGTTTCCATTTGATTGGAGGAGATTCCTTGGCTTTTGCCTTTGCCTTGCACTTCGCCTCTGGCTCACCTTTTGGCGGTGCCTGGCTTTTTGCTTTTGCCTTTTGTTTTACCTTTGGCTCAGCCTTTGCCCTACCTCGGCCTCTACCTCGCCCTTTAGGCTTGGCCTCATCTTTGGGAGGTGGAGGCACCTCATCAGATGAGCTGCCACTTGAAGAGCGGCCATCTGAAGAAGTGCTGCTACTACTGGACTGCCGTTTCTTGGAGGATGGGCTCTTCCCCGCTTTCGGTTCTTTTTCTTTCCTCTTTATTTTGGTCTTTCTCTGAGCCATCAGACTCAGAAAGTCTTTTTTTCTTGTCTGCTGCCGGGTCCGGTTCATCGTTGTTTTCATCTTTTTCTGTCACATGGTCTTTTTCCAACATTTCACGAACATCATCTGGAAAAACTTCGGGGTGGTCTAGTGCGAACTTCAACTCATGGTCACCACATGTCCTCAAGGCATCACCAACCTCATCTTTAGTAGGTCGCTTTTCCATGTCCTCAGAAAACAGGGCAACCCCGTTTATTTCGTTGAAGAAAGTTGCGAAGTTTCCCCTTTTGCTAGAACAACAAAATAAAGACAACTAGACATATCATGTACAATATATAACTGAAATTTTGGTGTTCTCAGGCGTGCAAAAACAATGCATTAGTGAAATACAGTCAAGAATCTCCTCCATCCTTCTTGTATCGGGACCACAGGAAATTCACACAGTGCCACAAGGCTTGGAACTGCGTGCGCTTTGTTTTGTATGAAGCTGACGTTGAAGTATGGGTTTTTCTTCTTGTTGCTTTCTTCCCTCTTTTGCAATTTCTTCTCAGGTTCCACCCCTGCCAAAGGGTAGTACGCTTCAAACGCAAACCAGCTGATTTGCCAAACTAAAAGCACAGCCGCCAGGGGCGGCCTGAGTTTCTTGATCGGCTCTGGTGTGATGACGCTAGCTGCCTCTTTAGAATGCCCCATGCGTTCAATGATGAAGGAGTGTCTCCACTTGTCATCTACCTCATCTCGCAGATCTCGAAACTGCTCCTCTTCCTCATCCCCCTGCAAAACTTCCATTACCTCATGAAGCACTTGTGTTTTGCAGGTTTGGGCTTTGGTTCTGCCAGTTGAAAGAAGACGCTGCAGCATGGTCTCCCGATCAGTTTCAGAAAGCTCAGCGCAAAAGAAATCAATGAGACCCTTCCTGGGCAACAGCAACACATCTGGAAACAAAGTACCCAAAACCGATGTGATTACACTACCTTAAATAAACTTAGACCTAGAAAAGCAACACCACTAAACAAACATAGACCTAAGGGGGTAGCCTTACCATACACGTGAGCAACGAAAAAACAGGCTGCAACTCAGATTTCAGCTAACATAGACCTACAAAATCCAGCCATGTTGGCTATCATGATACAAAACATGGAAAAATGGAGGCATGACAGCTTGATTGAAATGCATTTACATACCTGCACTTTGCAACGCAACAGCTGTGAAGACCACAAACGTAGACCTGATCACCTGATTCATACCTGATGTTTGGGAGCATTTGGCATTGTGCAAGGTTTCACAGCAAATTTCAATTAAGTCTATGTTAGTATACTTCCATCACCAGTGACGTCTTAGCTTCTAACAATTCTTGTGCTTCACATGCTTCTACACACTTAACCATGGTCAAAGCAATTTGGAGTTGCAAACAAAGATCTAGTACGGTAAATCCATGGACTTGTGGAAAATGGCCCTTTTATAGATGATTTTCCCATAAGACCTCCATTTATAAGGGATTTTCCATGGCTATGTTAGTCATAACCAGATGGTACCCCCTAGTAAACTAACATAGACCCTGAAAATCACTGTTTTTTAATGGA